AATCTTCACTGATGCTGTGTCAATAGTTACAACCCCCGTAACTGGTCACCCTACCTTTGAAGACGTAAACGTTCTACTGACTCGCTTCTTGGATTCCACCATTAAGCCATGGGTGCAAGATGCAATGACCGCTCTAGCACAGGAATTTAGGACCACCCAGGCGGTTCGGTCTGAACAGACACCACCCCAACCTTCCCCTGAACCGTTCATCTCCCATACACAACCCATATCCTCCACCCCTCTATCCCACCAATCCATAAACCAAATTCCTATTCCTTCTATTTCTCGGGGAACCCAGGATACAGAACCAGTATTCTCCCCACACCCGACCACACCCTCCATCGATCTCTCCTCCCTATCCTTTGACACACTAGCTTCGGCTTTGCTGAACAACCTCTTAAATACCCCAGAAGACAACCTCACTCTTCATCAGCAAACCATACTTGAAGCTCTTCTTTCTTCACCCGAAACCAAGAGCACTTGCAAGGAGAGTCTTCGTGGTCGCAAACGTTCCCATGAGGACCCCGATGATTCGGATCCTCATGAGGGGGAGAACAAGCGACCTCGATCACTTGAGCAAACTGCTCTCCCAAGCCAAACTCCACAGCCAATTCAACCTGAAACCTCAACAAACCAACAGCCACCATCCACAGCCAAACTATCTAGCATGGTCGAGCTAGAAATAACATCCCGAGGCGTATCTCCCAGAGATACCAACCGAGGAGGGGATGGAAGTCCTGATGATGTTACCACTGGTACATCTTCTCCACCAGGCCATCAGTTGGAACCCAGTTCTAAGCTGATGTCAACGGGCAATCCTAGTGAACCCGGTAGTGCTACACAGGAACAATCACCGCCTGAACAAAGAATTCCATATATTTCCCCAGGCAAAGACATCCATGATGCACTGGAAGAGGCGGTGATATATGACAAATGGCCAAGAAAATGGACTGAATGGGATGATCTTCGGGTTGAAGCCGAGCAAGAGGACATGCAAAGAAACTGGTGGCTACGAGAGCTAATCAACAAATGCTCTGAAGATATTATAAGGCTCGAGGACGATGAACGCAAGGAAGGGGAGAATTACAAAGAATCCCAGAAGACTCTTGAATCGGTCGTAAGACAAACAGCGGGAAGACTTCCCAAGACAGAGAAACCCTGGGATAATGTTCGTATCAAAGCCCCCTTCCAAGAAGAAATCAGAGAGCATATCTGGCGTAGACCAGACAGAGTCAAGCCACTGAATGAACTGAAGCTAAGAGGCCTTACTCACTTGAAAGGAAAGCAGGCTGGAGGTCATCTGCATATGCTGCTACAAAGGTCAACCGGTACACAGAGAGAACTGATGGAACAAGATATGAAGTCGAATATTCTCCCAATTCATCAAATTCTACAAGTGAAGGCTGAAGACTATCATGGAGTAACATTCTACACTTACAGACTTCAACGCACCGATGAGAGCGAATTTACTTGTCAAGAGAACGACTTCATCATGCTGAAACCGGATGACATCTACCAAATGTTCATGGCCTACAGATACCTTCCAGTCAGGCAGAGCATAATATACAGCGAAGGCCTCGCAGCTATCAAAAGATTCATGCTTAGACAAATCCGAGTACACTCTTCACATGACCTACAGATGGCTATAGAGTGCAATCTGAAGAAGACAAATCTGACAAAGCCAAGACTGTATGGTCCAGAACTTGAAGATTTCCCAGCCTACCACATCTTCTTCACACCGCCAACAGTCACCTATCTGAACCACAAGAACGAAAAGCGTCTGATGGTAGTCAGTGAGATTGAGAAGTACTGTGACGGAACACTGAAGATAATCAAAGAGCAGATTCTAAAGATGAAGGCAAAGCTAGAGGAAAATCTTCAAGAGGCATCGTCTTATGTTCAAAAGGAACACTCTACTGTAGAGACAATTTTAAAGGCCATTGACGATCGCCTCGAAAAGAGAAATGTGTTGAGGCAGTATGAACATGCACTTGGTATGAGGAAGCACTACTTCAAGTCTCAGAAGCAATAAGAGAATGACACTTGATCACAAAGGGGGAGATTGTTGGAGATATTTAATTGTGAATCAAGTTGGTCATAGATTAGCTTTATATTTAATCCTTGTATTTAATTAGTGCATAAATTAGATAGAAATCAGGCCAAGTGTTAGGCCCATTTAAACAGGCTAAAAGCCTGGTACGCCTAACCTAAACCTCGCCTATAAAAAGGGAGCCGAGGTTTAGGAAAAGGCTGAACGTCGTACTTATTATTCATAGCCTTACGCATATCATTATGTTGTACGCTTCCACGGTTTATCAAAGAAGATTTTACGGTGATTCATTCTGTGTTCATCTATACGTTTAATCTTCCTTGTTAGATCGATTATTCATTGCTGTTACAGAAACAGGGACTAACACTGTTGGTGTTGTAAGCAGGTTCTTGTCAAATCCAGGAAGAGAACACTGGGAAGCTGTCAAATGGATACTCAGGTATCTGAAGGGTACATCAAAGCTGTGTTTGTGCTACGGGGGAGCGAAACCAATCTTGGAAGGTTATACAGATGCTGACATGGCTGGAGATCTTGATAGTAGAAAATCTACTTCAAGTTACATATTCAAACTAGCAGGGGGAGCCGTCTCATGGCAGTCCAAGTTGCAAAGGTGTGTAGCATTGTCTACGGCAGAAGCTGAATACATTGCCGTTGTTGAAGCTGGGAAGGAGCTTAAGTGGCTGAAACGTTTTTTGCAAGAGTTGGGCTTTCCTCAAGAGGAGTACATCATTCATTGTGATAGTCAGAGTGCTATGGATCTTAGCAAGAACTCGATGTATCATTCACGCACAAAACATATCGATGTTCGATATCACTGGCTTAGAGAAGCAATTGAGGAAGATGAACTAAAGCTCTCCAAGATACACACAAACAAAAATGCGGCAGACATGCTAACTAAAGTGGTACCACACGAGAAGCACAAGCTATGTACAAACATCATTGGAATGAGAGAATTACGGAAGAAGCTGGAGGGGGAGATTTGTAGAATTCCAGCTCCCAGCAAGCCCACTCCATCCTCCATACCATGGGATGGTCTTCCATCTCCTGCCCACTGAAGAGAAGCATGGAGAGGCATGAAGAGGAGGCATGGGTTGTAGAATGGGTTGTAGCATGGGTACCAATGAATATGTCTCCAGTCTTGCCTATAAATAGAATACTCTTCCATTGTTCAAATGCATCAAAAACCGGAGAGAAAAGTAGTGAGAGTGATACACATATAGTGAGTGTATGAAAGAGTTGGTTTTTTGTAATAGTTGAGTGAGAGAGTTGCTCCTCCTATTGTAATTCTGTTCTGGTTATGAATAGAAGAATTTTCCAATCCTAACAAAGGATCGGGCGGTATCCTCAAAACTCGGTTATATAGGGTGGAGTACCCAAGGATCGGGCGGTATCCTCAAAACTCGGTTATATAGGGTGGAGTACCCAAGGATCGGGTGGTATCCTCAAAACTCGGTTATATAGGGTAGAGTACCCAAGGATCGGGCGTGTATCCTCAAAACTCATAGATTACTATTTAGTAATTCAGGACCGGGCGGTGTCCTTATGATTATTTGATTTTGACAGGAGAAGTCCTATACACTCATAGGTCTATGGGTGAGTTGGGGTTTTAAGTCAAGGACATTGACTATTATTATTTTTCTCAATTAAACAATGACTTACGGGTCGGGTATTTCCAAGTGTATATAAGTACTGATATGTATTTTGTAACTTGGGGTAAGGAAGTATAAGTATATGTATCACCCTATGTTTGGGTCTTATACTTGAAACGCTAGTTACTCTACATTGAGCTTGCTACTCGCTCGGTACTTGTACTGACCCCTTCGGGGGGCCACCATTTCAAGTTGAAGCTAGAGCCTCTGTCTACACCTTTGCACGGGTGGAAAAAATATAGAGGAAGACGTGGTTCGTGCTTCCTTTATTATTTTAAATCATAAACTATGCTCATGGATATTTTTGTATTATTACATTGTTTTGGCCTGCGAGCCTACATTTTGCCATATTTTGCTTATGATTGACCGTTGAATATTTTCCGCTATTCATTCAATCTATGATGTGATGTTGTTATGTATGTTTACTACTGAGTATGGTGTGAACGATGTTCATGAACGCCTTGTGTGATTATGTGAGGTTGACTTGCGAGTGACGTCACTTAATCACACGGCGGTTGTACACGCGCTTAGATGCGGTCTGAGGCGTGACAAAATAAATCACTAAGATTTAAAATAATGTTCTGGACTAAAAATGATGTTTGTAATAAAATAAGGAAAAGAAAATAAAATTGGGTTATCTAGTATAAATGAATGACTATATTTGGACTTAATAAATAAGTTATTGAATTAATGGACTAATTAAATTACTGTGATTAAATTAATAATTATCATCCTTGAATAGTATTGATTTGGACTCCATATAAATTGTTAAACTATTTGAACTTATAAAAATTAGTTGATTAGTATAAATAAATTAATTAAGTAATGTGTACTTAATAATTTAGTTAATTGACTTTATTGGACTAGTTTAACTAAATCAATTAGTTTAATGAATAAATTAGTTAAATTATGGACTTGGTAATATTTTTGGACTTTACAGTAAAAAAATAGAAAATTAAAACGAAATTAGAATCTGATTATTGCCTTAATTGAATTAGATTAATGTATTTAACTATATTGATATAATTAAACTTATTTAGTTGATGAAGTTAATTCAATTAAATTTACTAATCAAATAAAGTGGAGGATTGAATTAGTTAATGTAATTGGACTTGTTAGTATAAATAAACTATTGAACTAATTAAAGTTGTTATTGAGAATAGATTATCATTAATGATTATTATTTCGAATTATTGCTTACGGAAAATTATTATTAAAAGGTTTATTAAATAAATTATATAAATTATGAAAACTGAATTTTGGACTGAAATTGGTTATTTAATTCGAAATAATGAAATTATTATGTAGTTAATTTAATTAGACTAGTTAACTAATTAACCAAATAAATTAAAGTAAATTATGAAGGGGATTAGTATGATTAAAGAAAATAATAAGGCTAGACTGAAAATTAACATTTAAATAAGGTTTATGAACCTAACTTAAAAGTTATATTTAAAGAAGGAATTATGAAACTAAAATAATTAAAGGTTGAATAGATAGGAAATAACAAAAATAAAAGAATAGTTATTGATTTAGAATTTTGATATATATTAGAAGGAGAATTCAAGTGAAGGCCAAGCTAGAGATTTTATTAAGGGGATTATCGCAATTTAAGGTACGTTCTATGTCAACCAAAAATGTTTTATCTCGTACTTATATGTATACAATATTTGAACTATGTGAATTATTTATGAATTGGAAACTATTTGTTTGACATGGAATGAATATTTTGAATGTATGGATATTGGTGGATTAATATCTATTATGGATTATTAAATGTATATTCTTTTTATTAAAGAATATTGGTGGATTGATATTTATTACAAAGGATATTTTGGAAGTGTGACAAGAATGATTTTGGGGAAAACTTAAAGTTTTCATAATATATTATTGCGTCTCGAGAGAAACACGAGGCGTGGGTGGTTAGGACTACTACTACTTTTGGTGAAATTTATTTGGGTCGGTAACCAGTCCGGCAATGACATGCTCCGGTAGACATCCCGGGCTTTTATTTGAGGACCAAAGGTCCTTTGGTGGTCGTAGTAGTAGTTACCTAGTTTACCCCCTGGACAATGTCCCTTAAGAGTAGGTGGTAGAAAACATTCTGCCTACTTTAGAGGGTGTGCACACGTAAGGTAGAAACTCAGCTTCCAGTTGGTGGTCGGTGGGAGCCGGAATTCCGAGATGAGTCGTAGATAACAATGACTCATTGGGTTCGAGGTATCTTGAGTTTCACTCACTCTTAAAAGAAATCTAAAGTATTACTTTTGGAGGAAATTGAAGAATGACATTATCTATTGAAGAAATTATTTTGAGACATGAAGTTATTTTGGAAATATGAGAGGGTATTTTCTATATATATACATATACAAAACCTAATTTCCAAATTATATTATTTTACGGGTTCGGGTGGAATCTTACTTAACTATAAAGCTAATTTTTGTCTCTTTTGTCTTCTTCTCTTTGCTCTATTGTACAAATGATTATGATTATGAAGATTGATGTACTTGCTGCCCGAGTGTTCCGCTAGTTGCACACGTTTGATTAATTATCGTTGTTTAAATATGTAATTCATAAACTTTTTCCTGAGACCTATTTGATTGTTATTTGAACTTATGGTGGATAGTCTGTGCACTCAATCATGTATAGGTTGAGTGTGGCGGTGACGCACCTGTTTTTACTTTAAAGACTTCTGCTGTACTCTAACTTTGTTTTATAATAAAGGTGATTTCATTTAGAATTGTGGTTTTATTTAAATGAGAAAAATGGGGGTGTTACATATATTCTGTACTCCTATTACAACATTTAATTTGTGATTTTTATGTGTGTGTCCTGCTATAACTTTGTGATCTGCTAGTCATGAATTCAGAAGGCTGTGCTGAATGAATGAACTTTAAAGTTATTTACGAAAATTATACATACAGGGAAACATTGTGTAGAAAAATTGCTGTAACTGGAGAGATTTATATGACCTGAAATTGTTTAACGTTTAACGTCTCTATTTTCTCCCCTGACTCTTACAGGCTGTGGTGATTAATGAAGTCGACAATTTTCTTTTCCGTCCTCATCTTGGAATGCGAGCCAAATACCATGTTGTATGTCAAGCTATTTAAATGTGTTACCTTTAATGTTTTAATTGTTTCGTCAGATTATTATGGAGTTCTGAATTCAATGCTCTTCAGATTAAATTCTTCCCAGTTAAAATTTTACCCCTAATAGACTTTATTGAATTGACAGATCAACTTTTTGAGTCATAGGGGAGATGGTCCTAAGATAGCAAAACGTTTGATAGAAGTGTATTTTGCCCTATTTAAGGTAATAGAAAAGCTACCCTATATTAGCTACATGTATTTTGTTTTCTCTTTACTTCTATGCAACTTAAGCATTTCAATGGCCTAGATTTTGGATCGTCAAAATTTGGCAAATAATAATAACTAGTTGCACTGGACTAAACTTCCTAGATCAGTAAGGTTTTCTTATATTCATTTTCAAAATCCTATTCCAGGTATTGAATTCTGAGACGGATAGAGGGCAAAAGATGAACAAAAAGGATGGAAGGCAAAATTCGAAGGATAATGTAAAAGATAATGAATCGGAAAATATGCCGGAGTTGCATGTGGAGTTGGATTCACAGTTATTGTCAGCCCTTTTAATTGTAAGTAGCAACACCCAGTTTAATCTTTGTATATACACCCACCATATTCTTTTGTTTGCTGCACTTTCCTTTCCGGGATGTATTTTAGTTTTTGATACGTTTTCCCTTTTTGGTAAGTTTTCCCTTTAAAATACTCAATTACCCTTTTTTTCTCCAGAAGGCAAACCAGCAAAATCGGTGGGGCAAACGCCGGAGGAACGCTTGCCAGGATTTTAATACTCAATTACCCTTATTTTTTCTACTTTTTATCTTCTATTTCATACTTTTCCGTCCCCTCTCCTACTTTTTCAACCCTACTACTTTTCATAAATAATGTGTCAAACCCTATGGTAGCAAAGGAGTATATTTTGTTATCTAGGTTGAACCAACTCTTCAACAATTCATCTTCTGTTGGTATTTATGAGCAATATTCATTAGTTCTTGTGTTTGTGTGCTCTATGAAAATGCAAGTGTGAATTTTATGTTTTCATTGGAAAAGCATAAATTGCCCATCTTGGATACACATGGGGCCAACATTGTTTACAATGGGAATCCCCTTATTTCATTGGATAAACACGGGGTCAACATTGTTTACAATGGGAATCCCCTTAATGACCTTTCATAGACAGCATTCTTGGACAAATTCATGGAAAAGAAACCAAAACAAAGCACGTGGCATGGTGCCTCCCAGATTGAACCTGCCAAGAAGGTTAGTTCACTATTGTTTTTTATTTTGCATGAAGTTAAATATCTGATGCAGTCCATTGGACATACACACTTCTTCTCAATTTGCCGAACTTTTTTTGGACACTATTTTTGACTAAGCAATTCAGAGTCAATTTTGTCCTCATATATAAAATATAGATTACTGTAATTATCAAATGTATTTTCGTCGGTTGAGGAGTAAGTTAGTAAATTACGTAGTTCGAGGACTAAATTGAATATTAAATTGGGTCTAAATTTAGTGAATTAATAAAGGTAGCAAAGTACCCTTCTTTTAGAACTAAATATGCATGAAAACTAAATTAGGTTAAAATGGCATTGTTGAGGATTAAGTTGACTCCTAGAAAAATCCATGATTAAAGCGGGTGTTAACACATTTAAACCTTTGCCAAAAAACATTTAGGCCGGTGCTGGATCAACTAGGTTCTTGTGAATCAACTAGGTTCTTGTTTTTATTGTTTTTTATAAATACATCAGTAGTTGTATACTTGCGAGATGGTTTTGTTTATTTAAGAAATTCCAAGAAGAAAGATAATAAGCGATTACAAAAAGGTTGCTCATTGACCATAAAATAGTATATGTTGGCCTCAAATTTGTACTAAGTATTCTTCATTTGTCCCTTACTCCCTTTAATGAAGTCCATGTGTGATTGGGAGAGAAAGGCTCTTCTCTTAAGCCTTAGACACCACGCAGAAAACAAGAAGAAAATCTTACTACCTTCATATTTGGATGTTCTCCAAGGAGCTTTAATAGGTGAAAATCAGCATTAGATGCAACTTTGTTATTAGGATCTCCCAGCTGCAGGAAAGAAAAATTTTCAATGTAATGTAATACTAGTATATATTCCCTAAGGCAGAGAGCAGTTGGCGTTCTTGTTCTAATTTGCTCCTCACCAACACACAGACAGTCTTCATGAAAAAAAGGAAGCTTGATAAGATTTCTTTTTCCCTAGATAATAAAATAAAATCGTAACTTGTTTTGAATCTCTAGAGGAACGGATAAGATGAATAAAATTATGCTTATAAAAATCACTCCTTTGCAGAAATATTTTGTTGAAGAAAATAACCGATGTACTATGAAAATCGTGAGAAACTAGGATAGTTAGTTGATACTCTGTCATAAAGAGGGGGGAAATACACATATGCAACTGTCTAAGAGGCAGAAAAGGGTAATAAAAAAAGGAAAATGCTATATTTGATAAACCTTTAGTGCCTTGTCCTTGAGGGCATCTAACACATATCTTGAAGCTTCCTCAAGAGCAATAACAAACCGTTCATACCTGCAGTACCAATTAGATCAATAACAACTATTTAATATTAGGATTATTATCGTTTATTCGTTTTCAACAAAATGAAAAGATAGTTGGTGATATTCTAACAATATGAAATGCAAGAGTACCACTTCCTAGAATATTGGAGTTTCATAACCAATAAAAAACACAGAAGTATTAACATCAAAGTACCTTTGCTTTAAGCAATCCTCCCAAAACCATAAGAGCAGAGGAGAGTGACCATCCTTCGTGTCAGGGAGATGATTTAGAGGCCGCACAGAGAGCGTCTTCAGTTTTCGATCAGGTATTAGACTAGGAAAGAATTAGTCGGGTGTCAAAAATTTTAAATCCCAACCTCAAGTGCAAGAATTACACTTGCAGACGGTAAAATTCATCGTGCGCCACAATAAGGTTGGAAATCAGTTCATTTTGTTTAACAAGAAAAATTTAGGGAAGTAATAACAGTTCAAGGGGATATCTTTCCTACTTCTCACCTAGAAACAAAGAGCTCCCTTAAGGCATCACAAGCGGTCAGGGCATGTCGCTTGCCAACTTTTGATGTGACCATTCCTGCAATTGTAAATTTGATTAGCTTAAATATCATTATAGAGATCCTTTTTCTTTGTTCTAATTTCCTGCAATTTGATTAGCCTAAAGATTTTGTAGGTGAAGGGTTTATGGGCAAGTAAAGAAAAAAAGTTATGAAACTGCCCTTCCTTCTATTACATTATTAGGAAATGGTGTAATTACATAAAAACCCTTAATAAAACGACAGCTTGAAATTAAAAATGACTGTCTATTGCGATTTCGAAACACGGCCTTCTTGGTCCCACATCTTGCACGATCCAACTTCCGGAACCCCAACTTCCCGCACTCCATCCACTACCAGTCGAAATCGATTTCTACATAGCACCGTGTTTAGGGCACAAGCATTCTTCGATTTCTAGCACAAGCATTCTTTGATTTCTACTTCGACCACAAGCATTCTTCCATCTCCTTCAAACAACATGAAGTGCAAAAGTCTTACGATTCCTCTGCTAAAAACCCAAGCAAGGCGGAGACTTGTGAAAGCTTCGGAAGTGATGGAAGCCGCGGATGAACCCCATATTCAGGTAAATGTTAGATTATTTATGCTTGAGAGCGATATTTGATTCTTTAGAAAGCTATAGTGGTAACTTCTCAAATGAAAGCTATTTGGTTCTTTATGCGGTTGTCGACTCCGTCTCCACAACGACACTTCAGGTAAGTGAATCTATTTCCCTATTTTAATTAATTTTCATTAATTTCATATATGTTTAGATTATTAGTAGAATAGTAGATTATTTATTATTTATGCCTTAGTGCTTGGGCCTCCTAATCTATTATTTTGTATGAAATTTAACAAATTAGGTCTTGACTATTGAGGTTGTTTTTTATTTTGTGTAATTGTTTGATGAATTAATTAAATTATTTATGTTTAATAATTTGGAGCAAATGTATGAAGAATCGAAGATGTTATTTCTTATTACTTTTTAGGTGGAGGGTTATTTTATTAATGAATACATTAATTTTTGCTATTACGTGCAATATTAATTCAAACTTTAACGCTAATTCACGGTAATTTATTATTACTAGATTCTCACCCGTGTGATGCACGGGGCAAAGTATAGTTAAGGATAATATCAAAAAGTAAGAATAATATCAAAGATTGATAAAATATAGTAGTAATAATTATAAGAAAAATACAATAATAAAAATAGTGATAATAATAATAGTAATAAATTGAACGGTTACAATTGGTGAGGGATAATCAAAGAATCTTCGAATAATCTACTTTCTTCTTGTCTTTGGATATATGCTTAAAGCGTTCGCTTTTTATTTTAATTTTTGTTAACTGTTATGAATTATCGAATGAACGTTGACAAAAATATTATAACCACGTACTCCAACAATTATTTTCTAGCAAATTTAAACCCAACAACCTCATATTTATGAATATATAACTTAAGAGAACTGGTTTGGCCAGTCCGGATTGATGGGGGTATCTCCCGTCCGGCCCGTTTGAGTGGGTTTTGGTTAATATTTTTTTTATTAAATCTTATACATAAAATGCAATATTTTTCAATAATTTATTTAACTGACTCGTCGATTGAAATTTAAGTTGAAATTTTATAAAGATAATATACATTTCATGGAGCATACTCACAAAAAATCATCAAAAAATTAGACACGAAATTCCTTGAAACGGGACTCTTGGACTCTTGGTTAGTTCGGACTCCGGACTAATCTAATCAGTTGCTTATAATTTAAATAAATAAAGAATTTGAATAGAAGCCCATAAATTCAGGACCCAATCCAGCTAAATACGATCCAACACAGCCTTTTCGGTAAAAGCCCAACCCAATATTCTACCCACCCAAAAATACCTATGTATAAATACTCCTAATTTGCCCCATTCCCCATTCTGCAACCAGAGCCAGCAAAGACACGGTGCTCTCCGCCTCCATCAGCCACCTCCCTTCGTCCCGACTCCCATCTTCCACCATACCAGCATTCTAAGAGGTTAATCTCTACCATCTTGAGCACCTGTAATCCTTTGGTTGTCACAATAGAGAATCCTCTGTCTACCGTCTTATTTATTTATTTTTTTGCAAAATCTTCTGCGGTTTTATAATTTGGTATTCTGATTCTTAATTGTTACATACTTGGTAGTTGGTACTTGGTATATATTCAAAATCAAGTAGTGTCTTTATCCATTTTCTGAATATAATCACATCTTATGGAAATAATTTTCGCCAAACTGTTATCTCTAAGTACTTCTCAATCACTGATGTATATCCTGATTCCCGAGTTGGACTTATCAGCTCTTTCGATTAACAATAATTGGTTTAGTTTATGCAGTTAAAGCTATACTTTTGCAACTTACTCTGTATTTACCTAGCAGCTAGTTTAGTAAATGCTCCATAGTAAGCTAGTTTACTGATGGATAGTGTACCCAGGGGTAGCTTATCCGAGGGGTTATTGTGGGGAATAACTAGAGAGAAGTCGGAGCAAATAAGTAAGAGAGAGAATGTATTCGAATATGTGAACTTGTTGTCTTTTAAAATGGGTAAATGGGCTGCTATTTATAGTAGCAATAAATGCTAGACAGGGACACATGTCAACAATCTGGTGGTCGAGGGGTCACCTCAACTGGGGTGGCACTGGCACTCGCATGTGGCCGCATTAAATGCGGTGGTTGGATGTGACGTTCGTATTTGGTGCGGTGATTCAGCGCATGTGGAGAGGAGATTCTGCCGAGGAAGATGCCTTCGGCTGTAGGTGACAGCCTGAAGGCTCTTTCTGTGATGTTTCCGAGCTCAAATCTGTAAACGGTAGCCTTTGGCCATGTCGCCGAAGGCACTCCCATGTGCATATGGTGGGCTGCTTAGAGCTTTGTCTTGCTGGGCTTGGCCCGCTTGGGCCTGTTGGGCCTGATTGCAGTAGTGGAAGTATGTTGGTCGGGGGTCCCTGAGCCATATACTCCATCATTTACGTATTACCGTGAAGCCACTATCCATTTATTGAAGCTTGAATTTTGAAACAAAAGGCCAATAACAGTTGTAGAATTCAAAACCAACTATTTTCCTTTGAAACTATCCTCTTTATAACTATTTTCAGTAGAAGATATCTATTTTATAGTATCTTTATCAGGCTGCAATAGTGATTCTCCTTAGTTGGATTTTCTTTCATATTTAGCCTATTATTATACTCCGTATGTTTTAAGGTATTTTCAGTTTCTCATTAGCTATTGCTATTACACTATGGTTTCAATAATTTCAGTTTCATATAGGTTGTTATTATTGGGAAGCTATAAAATGGCTACTTATGTTTCTCATTGCCTTTTTATTTAGAAGTAATATCAGTTTCTTCATTAGTTATTTTTATTGTAATATAAACACCAATATAAATAGCTTTTTATATTTCTCATTACCTTTTTATTTAAAAGCTATATTAGTTTCTCATTAGTTATTCTTACAATCTAAACTCCAATATTATTTACTTCCTAACTAAGCTTAGGACAGAAGTTGTTTTTGATTGTTCTCTCTACCAAGTTTTCGTTTGATGTGCATACTTCAAAATAACTATGCATTACTTTATAATATATGTAGATTTGATTTTTCCTGACATGTTTAAATGCTCGCTTCTAAAAGTGAAGATTTTATAAAAAACATAAGAAATGTGTCAAGGTATGTGCTTCTGTGGTATGTATCAGTCAACAATGTATGACGGAGTTTGTAAATGAGCTTTGGTATGTGCTGGTCAATATAGTGCCTTTAGTCAAAGCTTTGGTAACTATAAAGCCATTTTCAAATATGCTTTCTTTTATTGCTTTAGTGTAAGCTATGAACTCCGTGCTTCATTAATTAATTATAATACCTTTATTTTGTTGAAGGAAATTCAGTGTAGTGTGCTATCGTGTATATAGAATATGTATTAGGATCATTCTATGTAAACTATCTATTATATGGACCCATTGTCCCATCTATGTAAACCCTAATATCTCCCTATTTATAGGGCCTTTGATAATGAAACTATACACCCAATTCTCCCTACAACACGTTATCAGCACGTAGCCCTAAACCTATTTTTTTCTCCCGTTCTCCCTACACTCAATCCGCAGCCGCGCCTCCAGCAGTCCAGCCGTGCCGCCTGCAATCCAGCCACGCTTGGCCGCCTCCCAACACACCGACCGCCCCCCCCCCCCCCCCCCCCCTTCCTAGCCTGCGACTCACCAATTCCCGGATCTCTGTTGAGGTATTTTTTTACTCAAAAATCATTGCAGGATCTTATGTATATGATTTATTGCATCATGTTTACCATTGTGATGAACATCATTGATTTTTTTTTTGAGATTAAGTTGTCAATTTTTTGAGATCCATTTCTTGCACCCCAAGTGTTTGATGATATGCCTCATCCATTTTTTTTGAGAGATAGATGCAATTTTTTATTATAATTCCGTAATGCAATATGTTATAATCATATAGTTGGAATTAATATCACATTATGCATCCCTCTTCGTTTTTATACATCTATGTGATCATACTTTTTCGTAAAACTATATGCCATATACATATAGTTGGAATCAAAGATCACATGATTAATCTTATTTTCATGTATTTTATATGATTATATGATTATACTTTCCGTAAAGCTATATGTTAGATACATATAGTTGGAATTAAAATCATATTATGCACTTTTTTAATTATTTAAAACATATGATGTGATTATATTTTTCGGTAATGCTATATGTCACTTACATATAGTTGGAACCATAATCATGTAAGATTACTATATTTTATGCCTGATCCGTTCATTAGACCAATATTAATACTTTCTATATTAAAAACACCATATAACATCCTATAAAAATCTCTATGATTTTTTAAGGAGTTGAATATATATCTCATCACTTCGATGCATTGTAAAATATTGTCTACAAAGAGACATACTCTCATGATTATTTTTTGTGATAAAGAATTTTCACAGAAAGAATCGATTTTGTTTATACACAAGTTTCTGTTTTATATCATATGAACTACACAAGTTCATGAATGTACTCATGATCATGTAATTCTTTTTAAGATAGTTGACCATCTCAACTTGTATTTGGC